TTTCAAATTTGCATAACGATCTTCAAACCAATAAAATTTAATTTTTGCGTGATATCTGGAAGGGAGATCGTCACATAGTTTAGCCAATGAAATCAAATGTCCACTATGCTCGATTGATGAATGTGGTCTTGAAAGTGATGAAAATTTTATGTATTGTAAATTATTAAATAATGATGATTTAATTTTATTGTCAAACAATTACATCTACATTTTATCATTTAGCAACAAGAATTCCAAAATAAAGCACATTAAATCAGATATTGAGAAGGTTAAAGATTATTTATTTGATTTCAAAATATGCTTTTATTATATGGATCATTTATATATTGATAAGCATCAGATTTCTAGACAGCCTTTTAGAGAAATGTTAGATAGTATGCTCAATGAGTTTCATTATTTCAACAAATTTGGAAAAGAAATGTTAAAGACAGCATTAGGTGGTAATAACAGTATTCTAGTAGAAAAAGTATTTGATTCTTGTCTTGGTCATTTTATAAAAAATACTGATTTAAATATTAGTTTATTAAAAATAATTATATTAGAATTACCAAGATTAGAAAAAAATCATCATAATTTAATATCAAAATTCTTTAGTCAGACTTCAATGATATTATTTCCATTTGTGAGACATTCTTACAATTGGGAAACTTTTTACATTGCTATAGATATTAAAGGATCAGTTTATAATAGCTTTTGGGAATTTTATTATAAACATAATTATATTAGAAAATTTATAAATAAAAAATTAAACAAATCCAAAAAACCAGGTGTAAAATTGATCATTCCATACCCTGGATTACTTACAACAATAAGTATTCATTTTGGCAAGAACTATTGTATAAGCCAGCAAACAGCAAATTTATTGAATTAGATACTTTAGAATTGTATAAACATCAGAATGGAAAGGTAATTTTGGGTTTCAAGTGGAATAATTTTGGATTCAAATATTACTTGGGGATTTGGATCTTTTATGCAACATTTTTATTATGCTTTGCAATTGCAACCTCTACTTCACCAAATCAATTATCTGATGAAAATAGAAATTCATTATTAATTATTACAATTATCCTTGGGTTGTTTCATCTTAATTTTGAAGTGAGACAATTTATTTGGGACCAGGGGAAATATGTCACTGGATTCTGGAATTATTTGGGTATGGCATTATTATTATTATTATTATTATTATTATTATTAGCTAATTAATTAATTAAAATTGATAATTTAATAATGATTATGATTTATTTAATAGACATTGGAGCATATTTCTTACCAGTCATCACTTCAATTTTATGGTTGTATTATGATAGTTCACCAGCTATTGAGTTGGTTTCAGTATCAAATTTGTTATTGGATCTGAAATTTATTTTGTTTTTAAGAGCATTTACATACTTTGGAAGATATTTTGCAATCATTTTGGGAGTTGCTAGAAATGTTTTCTCATTTTTAATAATATTATTTATAATCATTTTAAGCTTTTCACATGCATTTTTCATTTTATTAAAACCAATTCAGGAGGATTATACACTGGACAGTCCTGATTTCAAAGATAATGATCCCAATAATCCTTGGAATCTTGCTTCTAAATATTTTACATATTTTACAAATGACAAATCATATAACCAGAATTCAATTATTATACAACAACCAGACAGCAATACAAATATGTTTGCACATTTTCATTCCTCAATGCTGGCAATGTATAATTTCCTTACAGGTAAAATTCTATATTAATATGATTTTAAATCAATATGCTCACTAAAATATTAATATTATTTTTAATAGGTGATAGTGGAGCATTTGTATCTTGGCAGTTACAAGATGAACCATATCTGGCAATATTATTTATTGCATTTTCATTTGTTGTTGTGATATATTTAATGAATTTATTCATTGGTCTTCTTAGCAATCAAATTGAAAAATATAACATAGATGAAGCATTTTGGCTCAAAAGGCAAAAATCATAAAAGAGATTGTATTATTTTATTTACTTCCTAATCAACGTCGTTGGAAAGAATGGTTTCCTGATATATTGTAATTATGCTTATTTTTTTGTTGTCTTTTTTTTTTGATAAATAATCATGAATAATTTAATTTGATAATTTGATAGACATTATCATGCACCAGTTGAAGATATTCGAAAAAGAATTAGAGAAATTGATAACAGTCAAGAAGATCCAGAATTTCTTCCATTTATCTCTGAGAAACTTAGAAAATTGACAGACATGCCCAAGCCAGATGAAAAAAACAAAATGGATCATGAAAATCTTAAAAATGATCTCAAGGAAATTGAAAACAAATTAAATCATAATAATCATAATAATGAACAAATGTTTCAAACATTATTGGCTGAGATTAAAAATTTAAAAAAATAATTCTAGATTTTGATTGCAAACTTGAGATTAAAATTAATTTGTAAAATTTTTCTCAACTGTGAGATGGTTCCACACTTCTCTTCTTGTTCTTCTTCGAAGACATTGTACTGTGCCTGTTGAAGAGGTGATTGATTGTAGAGACATCATTTTCAACCATGCAATTATCGTCATTCATCATTGTTATGTTTATCATATTATTTAAAATTAAAACAATGAATTGTGCAGTTGCAAGTTACAGTATACTACTTTTTATCAGTGTTTTCTATTCGTAATACAAATTCTTATTTGTTTACTCATTGTATTCGTTTTATTCATTTTGTTTTATTTGTTTTATTCGAATTATTCTAATTATTCATTTTATTTGTTTAATTCAAATAAACCTTCAATCTAATTCGAATGCTCAAATTTATAATGAATCAAACAAACAATTTGAATGAACCCTAACAACAACATTCAATTTTTTTTCAATTCATATAAAATCCGCAACAAATTCATCATATCCATCTTTTACAACACAAAATAAAACATCATTTAATTAAATAATTTTATTTTTTATTTCTTTATAATAACCAGTTGGTAAGTATTGTATTATAAATTCATCTCTTACAACACAAAATAAAACATCATCTAATTAAATAATTTTATTTTTTATTTCTTTATAATAACCAGTTGGTAAGTATTGTATTATAAATCATCTTTCACAACACAAAATAAAACATCATCTAATTAAATAATTTTATTTTTTATTTCTTTTATAATAACCAGATGGTAAGTATTGTATTATAAATAATAAATCAATTTTTACAACACAAAATAAAACATCATCTAATTAAATAAATTTATTTTTTATTTCTTTATAATAACCAGATTGTAAGTATTGTATTATAAATCATCTTTACAACACAAAATAAAACATCATCTAATTAAATAATTTTTTTTTATTTCTTTATAATAGCCAGTTTATAAGTATTGTATTATAAATCATCTTTCACAACACAAAATAAAACATCATCTAATTAAATATCTTTATTTTTTGTTTCTTTATAATAACCAGATGGTAAGTATTGTATCATAAATCATCTTTTACAACACAAAGTAAAACATCATCTAATTAAATAATTTTATTTTTTATTTCTTTATAATAACCAGATGGTAAGTATTGTATTATTAATCATCTTTTACAACACAAAATAAAACATCATCTAATTAAATAATTTTATTTTTTATTTCTTTATATAACACAAAATAAAACATCATCTAATTAAATAATTTATTTTTTATTTCTTTATAATAACCAGATGGTAAGTATTGTATTATAAATTCATCTTTTTTATAATTTTGCTTAGAACAAATACCTATTTTTTATTATGTTGAAAAATAAATGTTATTTTATTTTTAATTTTTTATAATAAAAAAATTATTATTGAAATAATTAGATATTACTAATGAAAGAAAAGAAGAGTATGGAACCTGTTCTGTTTGTGCAAGATATAATACTAATTACCAGTGGTGTCAATCATGTGATCCCACATTTTTAGCTCAAAGTTGGACTAGCAATGGTGATGAAAAATTAGATGAAATAATTAGAAATACACAGCTTGAAGCCAAAGGGTTTAATAGTCATCATTACCTTGAATGGATTCCTTATGACCAACTCACAATCAAAGAAGTAATAGGTGAAGGTGGTTTTGCAATTGTATGTATATAAGGGTAGTTGGTCAAATGGACCTAAGTATATCAGTAGTAATAAAAGATATTATTTGGAAGATGGTCATGTAGCATTAAAAAAGTTTAAAAATAAAAACTTTTAAAATATTTCTGAAGGATTTTTAAAAGAGGTGAATAATTTGGTATAATTGATAATTAATGATTTTCAAATAATATATTAAATTTTTATTAATTTTCACAAAAGGTTCAAAGCTACATTAAATGTATAGGACCTGGTTATAAGGAGATTGTTAGTATTTTTGGTATTTCACAAGATCCAGATACAAAAGGATATATTTTAGTAATGAGATATGCA